CTGGAGCGAATGTGTTGGTTGGTATCCAAGTGGCTCGTAATGAGATGGGTGAGTTTCAGGATCGAGCAAACAGTCTCGGGTATGAGTATGAGCTGGAAACGAGGAATGAAGCCTTCCAGCTTTTAATGAGGTGATAGAAGGCTGCTAAAAGTAGCTTGTTATAGCTCTTTAACTGGATTAATCTCCTTATCCTTAAGGAAACCGTTCAGACATTTTTTATAATATCTTGAAGAAATGGAAAAGGAAAAGGAAAGAAAAGAAAATTGAAATGAAAAAGTGTTTGCTGAGTTATATATAGTTCTTTGGAGTAAAAGAGTTTTAATTTAAGTAGTGATGTACCAAGAAAAATTGATCCTCTTTGTAGGGATTCTTGTTTTAGGTTTGGCTGTGCTGCTCCTTAAATAATTGTGTAGTAGTGTAGTGATGTGATCTTCTTGTTGTAGCATCTTATACACCAGACACTGATTTTTGAGTCGATGTTACTTGATTTCACTATCAGGTTCTTTTCGTTTCGTATTATCCATTTTGTTTTATCATAAATGTAATAAGTCTAATTTAACTCTTTTTTTTTTTTCTGTTTTTATGTCGTGTATTATGGTGTTTTTTCGTCACTAATTGTTTTTTTTTTTAATTGTGTTCTTGTCGTGCCAAATAAACGAAAATGGAAGCAAAAACAAGAAAAAACCAAAGACGAACACTAAAAACAAATATATTTACACAGTTCCACACAAGTACAAGCCCATCTCCAGAAATCCACGGAAAAATGTGATTTACAAAGTTAACAGTACAGTACATGACATTGACAATTGCATCTTTTTAAGTTGTAACAGGCTCTATGCGATCTGTTGGGGTGAGGTACTTCCACATCATCAACAATAATCCTCAGTTCTGTTCTTTTCTTTTCTTTACTTTCTTTCTTTTTTTTTTTTATTTTTTTTATTCATTTTTTTTGTGAGCTTTGGTTTTAGTTTAAATGATAATGTAGCAACCACAGGTACATAACAAGAAGTCAAATGTCAGCTAAGAACAAACAAACAAAACCCACCTTTCATCATTTGTCATCACAAGATATTAAGAAAGTTCAAATCCCGCATTAGAGTTAATGGCGTAAAGAAGCTTTGCCCTCAAAGTGCTTGCGCGTTTATATGTCGGGAGCTGTATCCATCACAGGAGATTCCCCAATCATTCAAAAATATCCAGCAATGAACCAATAATAATAATATTAATAATAATAATAATAATAATAATAATAATAATAATAATAATAATAATAATAATAGAATTTCTGAACCATACCTTTAAAGTGTTATAACATGTAGAAGCTGATGGAAGGCGATCCACGTCCTGGCCACCAAACGAAGCCCAAATAGGAACATCACAAGCCACCTGCTTTTTCACATGTTAGTCGAGTCTTTTCAGTTTCCACACAACTCACATTTTTTTTTTTTAATGTTCAATCTTCTTGTACCAAACTGTTGTATTTCAGGTTGTAAGTAAATGAAGTTAGAAAATTACCTTATGGATCGTAAAAGCCGGATGAAGGTGTTTGAACCCAAGCAAAGGTGCTCGAGAACAGCTGGTTACAAATTTAAGAAGTGTGCAGCGTTCTCTTGGCTCAAATCTTGCAAATACCTATGAATACAAAAGAACCAAAAGCAAACCTTAACAATTAAAATGCCAAAAAATATAATCATCGATTTAATCAGCAAATATCATCGGACAAAAGAACATGCAAAAGATTCATCCAGTGGTCGAAATTTGTTGTGGGCCATACCTCCCAAAATAGTTTTACTGTTCGACTCCCTTCACTATAACCCCCGGTATATTGTGTGTGCGCCCTCAAATCATCAACATCAATNCTACAAAAAAAAAAAAAAAAAAAAAAAACAATAAACCAACATGAAATGGAAATTAAAGTAGAATCTGTAACAAAAAAAATCATTCACATATGCAAACATTTGATGAATGGGCCCACTGTGATTTTTACAGTTTTTTTAAGTTAGTGCAAGAACGTGGTATTCATTAATCTTGTCCACTAGCATGTAATCTTCAGCAGTAAGATCACATCCCATGTGTTTGAAGAACCATATTATTCTGATCACTGTAAGATATGAAGTGGTGTGGTCAATTTGATGAATACTTCATGTTCTAATACATTTTTATTACTCAAAATAAATGAATGAGTGTGAGTTCCCATCACAGATTTCCAGAAAATTACTAATACAGCATCAAATTGGAAAAGGCATCAAACTAGATCAGGGAAAAGTAAAATAATACAGCATTTAAGTAAATTACCTGATTAAATTCACTTGAATTAAATAATTTCAACCAAGAAGGGGATATCAAGTCCGTCAACCCTCGATAAAATGCATTCGAGAAAGGAAGTATCTGCAATACGGTGGTGGCAATGAGGTAAATCAGCCAATTACGAGCATGCAAGCTTAGAAAAAAGACAAATGACCATGAATACCTGCCGGTTAAGTTTATAATCAGCCATTGCATGGACATACTGCAACTTGTTCTCATTTGTCACAGAGATATCCTTCCCACCCAGTTTGAGTTCAATAACATGTCTCTTTCCAAGTGATTCTTCAGTAACCGTGAAATCTAAAGAAAGATCCTTGACGTCACCATCATAATGCTGCAATGCAAATATAATTGGTAATTGAACAAAAAATCCTTCCCAAAAATTTGATTCTATTGCCCAAATGTTTGAGAAAAAGCCGTGATAATTAATTCTATCAGAAAAAAGGATAAAATATTACGATGATAACTATAACAGCAAACATCATTAAATTCCAGTGATTTGATAGAGCATTCACCTTCACATACATGAGATTTCTGTAAAGCTCAGGATCAAGCATAGAGAGCTCATCCAAAAAGCTATATCGGCCCAACAATTTTTGCACAAAAACATGTGAAAAATAAAAATCGAGGAGGATCCCTTCATACAAAGCTTTGCCTACAATTCTTCCTAGAAACTCAATCATCTGTATTCCATTATCCAGAAATCTTGCCGTTGGATTTGGTACTAGAAGCCGATCGGAAGTAGACGTCTGAGAGAAAAGCCCATACCTTTTAAAAACACATAGCAATATCAGGAGAGAGAGAGAGAGAAAAAAAAAAAAAAAAAAAANAAAAAAAAAAAAAAAAAAAACAGAGATATCTTCGGAAAGAAATGCAATGACTAAACCATAACTTACTCTGGTGAGAATGCTATTTTTGAGATGTCAGTCAAGAACTCCTTGGACAACCCACCATAGTCAAGACCAGCTTCTGGAAGGCCAGATTCACTAACAAATGAGACGTGGATGGCTGACTTCAACCTTGGGCCCATAGAATTCAGTTGCCGCAGACCATCTTCAAAAATATGACCCCGGCGAATAACTATCTCAACTGACCGTGAATTAGGTCCAGTGCCTTCGCCAGCCAGTCTTCTTGATACTTTGTCCATGCTGATGAATTCTCTAAACATTTTTACTCTGCCAAATTATGAATCAAATATCTCAATGTTTGTGGTAAAGTGAAAAAAAAAAATGAAAATCATTGCGGGTTGAAGTATTTTTAAACAATTAATCAGTGAAATTTAAGAGAACAAATCTGGAAGCAAAAGCAGCATTATCAACAATCGCGACAAGAAACCCTTAAAAAGCTAACAACTCTGAAACAGCAGCTCTATTTCTATTTAAGAATGCAGGTAGATTGGCTAATTAAACAGGACTAAACCTTAATTTCATAATGACATATAATTTAGTAAAGAGACCTCAAACTTAACCACATAAATTTGCATCTTACGCACACTTGAGAAATAAAATTGTGCATACACATATATTAGTAATCTCATTATTTTTAACATACTCCTGTATTTTTGCTTGTCTCTTAGATTCTAAAAAAGCGAACACGCCATTCAAGTTCTTTTTTCTTTCCATCAAACAACCATGTAATGAAAAATTCCATGGACAAACAAACACATATCAGCACCAGCACAACGCACTTCTAAAAGCAAATCCAAGACAGGAAATGGCACTAAAAAAAACCTTCAAACCACCTTTCTTCAAATGGAAACACATGCGGCATAACAGTAATGACGGAACCCATGCCCGAGGAAGGAGACCCATCTGCCGCTGAAAGCACTTCATGAGTTCTGGCGGCAACAGCAATTGGCATCCTGTTACTTTTACCAGGCGACAACCACAAAGAAGGGTGACAAAATTGGCGTCTGCAATCCCTTTCATACAGCAAATGAAGGCATCTAACAGCAGAATCAACGAGAGCCCTGTTCCGAGAGCTAGTAAACCGGGACAAGGAATTGTAGACAAGTGTATTCAACATGGATGCAACTTTCTGCTGCTGCTCCAATGTGAATGGCACCTGTTTTATTTAAATGTAATGCCGGTATAATCATTAATACCATGAGTATGGTGCAACCTTAGCATACTAGGGCTTGTTTACTTCGCTTGATTGGATAAACTAAAACTATCTAATCTAGTATCATGTCTACTCTCAAAGATGAAGACCAGTGATAAAATTGCAAGCCAGTTCGTCCCACCTCAGAGGCAGGATGGAATGATCCCATTCTTGTGTTTTACAAGTTTTTGAATAGATTATTGCATTAGAACCTATTACTTTAATCATATATTATGATTTAAATTTAAAGCCAGTTTATGAAAATATTTATGTAAGGACAAATTTCACATTATAACATATTATTATCAGTCAAAGTACACATTTCGACAATTAAAAAAATAGATAATCCTATAAAACAATCACATGACATACATACTAAATTTGTAAGAAAGCTTAATATTTATCCAACCTTTATCATATTTTTAATCAATCATTCATCATTCAGACAAATGAAGTAAATGCGCACTAGGGATAATGCTCTTATCGAAAAGAACTAATAGAACCTGCTTATCGTAAAACTCCATGTCATCTAGAATCAACAAGAGATGTGAATAAGTGGAACAGAAGAGGAGGAGCAGACAATGTGCGTCTTTCGATATGCCTTCAGGACCTTGCCTCAGAGTCTCAATGTCCCACTCATCAGAAGGATTTTCCTCACTTTGGCTAAAGCTCAATTGGCTATTAGCTGAATTTACACAATCCTTATCTGTAGGCAACTTCCCACTGAATTTCTGCAACACGTTAACCCATTTATTGCCACTGTCTTTACCAAATCTCTTCTGACTCCTCTCTGAAACTCCTTCACTTTTTTCTGCAACAACTGTATTTGCATAGAGCGATGGGGAGCTGGCAACATGACTTCTTTTGTGAAAGAGTGATTTTTCTATTTCTCCCCATAAACTGCCAATAAATCCTGGGGTAAATGCCAGTATGTTAAGGACTGGCAAAGACTTGTACATGGGATTCAAAATCGAAAATAGCCGTAGCATACAGGAATAATAATACGCTACATCAAGCAATCCATATTTCCATGAACGCTCTTGGTCTTCAGATGAGCCAATATTAGTGCCACGTACAGACTCATCTTTTGCGAAGACCAGCAATGTCTTGAGATGCCACTGTTGATAAACAGGCCTAAAAAGGTCCATATATGATATTTCTGAGAACCCACAAGTTACTCCATCCAAGTCAAAAGCCGATTCAGTAGAAGCATCACTACAGACTTCGGTTTCTGCATTTTTCCTTATCTCTTTGTTTTCTAGTGAAGCAAGTAGATTTTCTGCAAGTAAAATAATCACTTGTAGATAACATGAATAGTCTAAACCTTCAGTGAATTTTCCTGAATTGTGTGCACTCATATCACTTGCTGTCGTAAGGTAAATAATATTTGCCAGAGCCCAACCAACGCCCGACATCTTCATGGACGTTATCTCCAGCTGATCTAATTCAGATATTTCCTTCAAAATCTTGTCCTTCAAAACCTATCATCACCTGCCAAGGTTTGATCAGATTCCTAGCTCCTTAATATATGAAATCTAAACAAGTTCAATAAGTAGAATCCATGTTTTTAACCAATATTTTACAGAATGAGCTACACATATAAAATCATAGATGAATATAAACATTAAAAAAAAATGTTGTAATTACTCAGATCAACAAATAAAAATCCTTAGCCAACAAAATATAAAGAAGCATAGATAATTTAAGAACCTAAAAGCAAGAGTTTTTCAGTTTAGTCAATTCTCACCAGTAACACCCTGAGGCATGGTAATAAAACTGACTTGTGTCTCAAAGCAGGCACAAGTACTGCAGGCAAGCGGTGAGGAAACCAAGGTATCGTGAGTAGCGAGACCCAATACTGCTCAACAGCACACTCAATCAAGCCATCATCATTCACTTCCATGCTCGCTAAGTGGAATGGCCTCAAAGAAAGTGTTATTGCACTGGCAACTATTAAAAATAAATCATCTGCCTGACGAGATTTCGACTCCCGAGACGAAAAAGGAGCCCCCAATTTCGAAATGAATTTTCTGATGCAATTATACAGCCCGCTTCTCTTGCTCCCGATGCACCGCACTAGATTATTCACGGCAGTATATGCATCCTTGAGGTTATTATCGGCAACAATATTCCAACCTTTTGGATCTGTTAAGAGAACAGATAAACGCATTGCGGTTGACGTGAGGACGAGGTCTTGATTACTTTTATGGATGTGGTCGAAAACGGAAAGAACAAACGAGCAAATGGAAATCAGCTTCTTTGATTGATGAGACCATATCAATCGCTCTTCAGTGCTGCCGGTTGCCATTGAGAAAAAGTTCTGCTTAACTTCTGCAGGTCAAAAAGGTAATAATCATTCACTCGAACTACTTGTTCATAATAACAAAAACATTTTTTTCTTCAAAAAAAGCTACTCCCTCCATTCTGGTATTGAATGTTTTGGCTTTTTTTGTTGAGAATCAAATCAAAATACCAATAATTGTTAATTTTATATTTCAATTCTAAACCATCAACTTTAAAAAAAATAAAAAGTAAATAAAATGGAGGGAGTAGAAAGCTATTAAGAGCCTTCTGCAGTTCCATGCGCTATACATTTATCCTTAGCTAGGAACAGCCAATCATGCAGCTCTAGACCATATAATCTACTTATGCTTGTCGCAATATCTCAAGGACATCAAGGAAATAATATTACTCTCTTCTCTTGTTAATATAGATACAGTCAGGAAGGTCATACTTTGTGATTTTCAATATATAGATTCTGATCCCTAATTTCAAAACCGAACATGTTAGACATATTATTGTATCCATTCATCATTCTCAGATATCACAAACAAGCATACCTTTCGAATTTACATTCTCCAAAACCAATTTGAAGCAGCTTATCATGCAGTCTCTATCTCTAGCTCCGATCTCCCCGCAGCGAACACATATATAGTTTATAAAGAAAATGAAAGGCCTCAAAATTTCAATCGAAATCTGCATTCCAGCACAAGCACCACTGAATTTGCTCATCCTTGTTTCCCAATCATCCCGCATTTTCAGAGCCACCATTCTCATCTCATGGTGCCTCCTCCAGACCCTCTGAATGCAGGGGAAAGTCATTATCACACTCATATAATAACAATATCAAATCTGATTTTCCAAATTCAAAATAATAATAATAATAATAATAATAATAATAATAATATCAAGCTCTCGACCTGAATGAACAAAACAGCAGCGTTTGCCCGCCGGGTGTAATTCCGGAGCTCCCTCTCCTGATAAACCTTCTCAATCAGGGCGTCTCTCGTGATCTCCTTGGCGCTAGCCCCACGCAGAGACACCTGATCGAGCGATTCAAACTCGCGACTCAGCATGCAATTCACGAACGATAGTACTAATTAACCTAAGAGAATTAACGATTCGAGCACATAATGACGAGAATTGAGCTAGGGAGAAGCTGGAAGAAGACAAAACCTGTTGCCGGCGAGGTTCGGCCATGGCACTCCGCCGCGATTGGACTAGTTCGAGATCCTTGCTGGGTGAACCTTGCTCTTCAACAGCTTCCTGTTATTGACGTTATCCGTGCAGTTTATCTTCAATCAATTCGTGCTTGTGTTTTATGATTTCGTTTTGGTCGGCGAATTGGATTTCTCGCCGGGAATTTCACTCGGTGATTCTCCGGCCCGTCGCCGGCTAATTTTGGGTGATTAGTTTCGGAAGCTCTATTTCACGAACATTTTCTCCCTCCTGAGGAGAAATTTTAATTCCAAAAATACCCATTAAAGATTAAAAATTGTGAAAGAATATAAAATAAAAAATATTGTAATTAAAATTATATATGATAATTATAAAAATAATAAAATATCTAGGGAACTGGTAGTATAAAAATGTCAATATAATAATATGAAAGGATTTATAATAATGATATGCACCAAATATTATTGAAAATAAATAAATAAATGTATAAATAATGACTAACAGTTGCCTCCATATGAAAATTGAAGTAACATACTTAACTGAAAAATACTACAAGTATATAATAAATGTACATACCTCAATATAAGATGTACAATGGGATACACTTATTTTTTATTTTTGATAGGATACACCGAACCTGAGTGTTATGTACAGTAGAATATACCTATAATATTTCTCTAAGTGCATGTTTGCTTGGTGGGATTAGGTAGGATATCCCGCTTAATCCAGGCCTAATTATGCATTTGGTTCATGGAATTAAAGCCCGCAGGAATCCCATCGGCCCGGTATAAAAATGGCTTAATCCCTCATACATGGGATAAAATAATCCCAGGAAATAGATGAGACTATTCCTATCCTGTTGTAGTAAATTTCTATTTTACCCTCATTTTAATAATTTTTGGATTGTTTTTGATTTATTTAAAATGGATAAAACAGTATTTTACACCACCTACATATTTCTTTTTATTTTTTAATCTAAAGTTATCCTACCCCTTATCATATATAAAAAATATAGTCCAATCCCAATAGTACAATCCTTCCCATTGGACTCTAATTCCAAAGCAAACAAGGGCTAATTAAGTTCATCCACCCACCCGCCTCGTTTTCTCAGACCTCACCTCAGTTTTCTCCCGTCGTCTCCTACTCTCCCCTTCTCAAATTCACTCAACTGGCCAACCCCACGCTACCAGCCACCACCGCACGTCTGCACTAGCAGCCGTCCTCCTCACCTCCTACACAGTCCTCCTCGACACTGTTGGTCAAAAATGGCTGCGGCCAACAACCAAAGAAGAAAAAAGAAAATAGCCAACATTTCTTGTCCAATTGCAGCAGCCCTCGTGCTGAATTTTTTAAAACATGGAGTGCACATTTGTGGAAAGAATGGTGCAATTCTCCTCTATAAATAGAAGGGTTTTGATACACATCCAACATCACAACCAAAAAGAAAAACACCAAGAACGAGAGAAAAAGAAAAAGAGAGAAAAAGGGTGTGAGCAAGAAGCAAGAATTTAGCTTCCGTGTGTATTTTAGTTGTGAGTTGTGAGTGAGTTTGATAGTGTTTTGTAAACACGAGTGTATTTTTTTTCTTCCTAATAAAATATCTGCAGTAGTCCGGAGACGTAGGCATTATTGGCCGAACTCCGTTATCAAATTGGTGTGTCCAATTTTTATTTTTTTATTTCACTTTTATAGATCCGACTTCATGGAAAATTCAGCATATTTTTCCCAACAACTGGTATCAGAGCCAGATTGTTAATTCTGTATTTTTTTGTGTGGTGTTACTATTCCGTTGAAAAACGTGAATAGTACCAATTTTGTCGGCGCTACAAATTTATCTACCGACGTGTTTTAAAACACGGTAGTTCACAAAAATTGCAGAAACGATCCGGCAGAGAAGTCAGATCAGAGTTGAAGTGATGGCTGCAGACGAAGGAAAAATGAAAATCGAAAAGTTCGACGGTGCGGACTTTGGCTTCTGGAAGATGCAGATCGAGGATTATCTGTACCAGAAGAATATGTATCAACCACTCACAGGAAAGAAGCCAGAGGACATGAAGGAGGAAGAGTGGAGTCTCCTTGACAAACAAGCTCTTGGAGCCATTCGGCTAACGTTATCCCGTAATGTTGCTTTTAACATTGCAAAAGAAAAGACGACAGCAGGCCTCATGAAGGTTCTTTCCAACATGTACGAGAAACCATCGGCCTCAAATAAAGTTCATTTGATGAGGCGATTGTTCAACCTTCAGATGACCGAAGGTGCTTCGGTGGCACATCATCTCAATGAGCTCAACACCGTCACAACCCAGTTGAGTTCAGTTGAGATCGAGTTCGATGATGAAGTACGGGCTTTAATACTTTTGTCTTCCCTACCAGAAAGTTGGAATGCTACAGTCACGGTTGTGAGTAGCTCATCGGGAAGCAATAAGTTGAGATTTGATGATGTCCAAAATTTGGTTCTCAGTGAAGAGATCCGGCGGAGAGAGTCGGGTAAACCGTCGACCTCTTCTGTATTGCATACAGAGTCAAGAGGAAGAAGTTCAACCAAAGAAAGCAGACACAACAAATCAAAAGGAAGAAGATCCAAGTCCAGAAATCATCGTAATTCCCAAACCTCGAAGTCGATCGAGTGCTGGAATTGTGGGAAGACCGGACACTACAGAAACCAGTGCAAGAGTGCACCAAAGGGTCAGGAGGCAAAAGAAGAAGCAAATGTTGCCTCATCCTCAGGAGGAGATATGCTGGTATGTTCTTTGGAGAACAGAAAAGAGTCTTGGGTGTTGGACTCTGGAGCATCCTTTCATGCTACCTCACAGAAGGAACTACTCGAAAATTATGTTCCTGGTAACCTTGGTAAAGTTTACCTTGGTAATGAGCAATCATGTGAAGTTGTAGTGAAAGGTGCAATAAAAATCAAGCTGAGCGGGTCTGTATGAGAATTGAAAAATGTTAGACATATTCCCGACCTGACGAAGAATTTAATCTCCGTGGGCCAGCTAGCCAGTGAAGGCTACACGACAATCTTCCATGGTGATGATTGGAAGATTTCAAAGGGTGCGATGACAATTGCTCGAGGCAAAAAGAGTGGTACTCTTTACAAGACCTCAGGAGCATGTCATCTGATTGCAGTTGCAGCAAATGAAAGTCCCAATCTATGGCACCAAAGATTTGGGCATAGAGTGAAAAAGGGATGAAGATCATTCACTCAAAAGGAAAATTAGCAGGCCTCCAGTCAATAGAAATTGACATGTGTGAAGGTTGTATACTTGGAAAGCAGAAGAGAGTCAGCTTTCAAACAAGTAGAAGAACTCCAAAGAAGGAGAAGCTTGAGCTCGTCCACTCTGATGTTTGGGGTCCAACCACTGTCCCATCCGTTGGTGGGAAGCAATACTTCGTGACTTTTATCGATGATCACTCCAGAAAAGTATGGGTTTACTTTCTGAAACACAAGTCAGAAGTATTTGAAGCTTTCAAGATTTGGAAAGCTATGGTGGAAAATGAGACAGGCTTGAAGATCAAGAAGCTCAGATCCGACAATGGTGGTGAATACGTAACAACCAGATTCAAGAAGTTTTGCTATGAGCAAGGGATCAGAATGGAGAGAACCGTGCCTGGTACGCCTCAACACAATGGTGTAGCTGAGCGTATGAATCGAACGTTGACTGAAAGAGCCAGAAGCTTGCGTGTACAGTCAGGCCTACCAAAGCAGTTCTGGGCAGAAGCAGTCAACACAGCAACTTACTTGATCAACCGAAGTCCATCGGTACCATTGGATCACAAGTTACCAGAAGAGGTATGGAGCGGAAAAGAAGTAAAACTCTCACATCTTAGAGTTTTCGGGTGTGTTGCATATGTGCACATCAGTGATCAAGGTAGAAACAAACTTGATCCAAAATCAAAGAAATGTACTTTTCTTGGTTATGGTGAAGATGGGTTTGGCTACCGCATATGGGATGATGAAAACAAAAAGATGATCCGCAGCAGAGATGTCATCTTTAATGAAAGAGTGGTGTACAAGGACCGGCATAATACAAGTGCCAGCAACTCAGAAACGAGTGGGCCAGTTTATGCAGATGTGGAAGATATCCCAGATAGTCCTATAATGAGGAGTCCTCAGTCAGAGGAATCAAATGAAGAAAGTGATGTGCAATCAGAACCTCCTACTTCAGCTCCTGTATTGAGAAGGTCCTCTCGGCCCCATGTGCCTAACATGAGATACATGGACTACATGTTGTTGACTGATGGAGGAGAACTTGAAGATTATATGGAAGCTTGTCAAACCACAGATGCTAGCAAGTGGGAGCTTGCCATGAAGGACGAGATGAAGTCCTTGATCTCAAATCAGACATGGGAACGAGTCAAGTTACCTATGGGAAAGAAAGCACTTCACAACAAATGGGTGTATCGGATGAAGGAAGACCATGATGGTTCCAGAAGATACAAAGCCCGACTGGTTGTCAAAGGATTTCAGCAGAAAGAAGGAGTTGACTACACTGAAATCTTTGCTCCAGTTGTAAAGCACAATACTATCAGGACTGTGTTAAGTATTGTGGCTAGCGAAGAGCTCTACCTAGAGCAATTAGACGTGAAGACTGCATTTCTTCACGGAGACCTAGATGAGGAGATCTATATGCACCAGCCTGAAGGTTTTTCAAATGGAAAGAAGGATATGGTGTGCAAATTGAAGAAGAGCTTGTACGGCCTGAAACAAGCTCCAAGACAGTGGTATAGGAAGTTTGAAAGCTTCATGCACAAGGAAGGCTTCCAGAAGTGCAATGCCGATCACTGTTGCTTCTTTAAGAAGTATGAGTCCAGCTATATCATCTTGCTACTCTATGTCGATGACATGTTAGTAGCGGGATCAGATATGAAAGACATCAGAAAATTAAAGATGCAGTTGTCAAAAAAATTTGACATGAAGGACTTAGGCCCAGCAAAGAAGATTCTTGGAATGCAAATCACGAGAGATAAGCAAAAGGGAGTTTTGCAGTTATCTCAGACGGAGTACATCAACCGTGTTTTGTAAAGGTTTAACATGGATAAGGCTAAGCCAGTCAGTACACCTTTGGCCAGTCATCTTCGTCTATCCAAGAACCAGTCTCCTCAAACAAAGGAAGAAGAAGAGTTCATGGCTAAGATTCCTTATGCTTCAGCCATTGGAAGTTTGATGTACGCGATGGTCTGTACGAGGCCAGACATTGGCCATGCAGTGGGAGTTGTGAGCAGGTTTATGTCAAAACCAGGAAAAGCTCATTGGGAAGCAGTCAAATGGATCTTGAGATATCTACGTGGCACAACAGAAAAATGTTTGTACTTTAGAAAAGAAGATCTAAAGTTACAGGGCTACGTAGATGCAGACTTTGGAGGTGAAGTTGATCACCGAAGAAGCACCACCGGTTATGTTTTCAATGTCGGAGCTACAGCTGTTAGTTGGATGTCGCGGATACAAAAGATTGATGCTCTATCCACTACAGAGGTTGAGTATGTAGCAGTGACAGAAGCCAGTAAAGAATTGATATGGCTTCAAGGATTGTTAGCAGAGTTGGGTTTCACTCAGAAAGAGAGTGTCTTGCACAGTGATAGTCAGAGTGCAATACATTTGGCAAAGAACTCAGTGTTTCACTCCAGAACTAAGCACATCGATATACGATATCATTTCATCAGATCTCTTCTCGAGGATGAAGTGTTGACTTTGAACAAGATTGTAGGAAGCAAGAACCCAGCAGATATGGTAACGAAGATGGTGACTATTGACAAACTGAAGTTGTGTTCAACTTCAGTTGGCCTGCTAGAATAACAGACCGGAGAAGACTACTGCAGTAATTGAGGTGTGAGGACAGATTGAAATCAGTCCTCAAGTGGGAGATTGTTGGTAAAAAATGGCTGCGGCCAACAACCAAAGAAGAAAAAAGAAAATAGCCAACATTTCTTGTCCAATTGCAGCAGCCCTCGTGCTGAATTTTTTAAAACATGGAATGCACATTTGTGGAAAGAATGGTGCAATTCTCCTCTATAAATAGAAGGGTTCTGATACACATCCAACATCACAACAAAAAAAAAAACACCAAGAACGAGAGAAAAAAAAAGGAGAGAAAAAGGGTGTGAGCAAGAAGCTAAAAAAAAGCAAGAATTTAGCTTCTGTGTGTATTTGAGTTGTGAGTGAGTTTGATAGTGTTTTCTAAACACGAGTGTATTTTTTTTCTTCCTAATAAAATATCTGCAGTAGTCCGGAGACGTAGGCATTATTGACCGAACTCCGTTATCAAATTGGTGTGTCCAATTTTTATTTTTTTATTTCATTTTTCTCTGTGTTTACAATTGAAGATAAACTTATTATTGGAAGGTAACAGTGAATGTTTGATTTGGTAGTTCGATTTGTACACTGCTGTTTATTCTTTGAACTGTGAAACTTTAATTGAGGTAATACACTGAGTTTGATTGAGGCAATATCCAGTTCTTGGGGTTTCATTTTGAGTGGGCGTATGAAGACTGAAATCTCTCTGCTAGGCGCCTTTTAATTATAGTGTTGCAGGCAAAAAAAGGGCCGGGCAAGGTCACGGTCCAGGTCGGGCCGCGGGCCTAGGGTCACTAAAATACACTGCCAAACTTCATTTATCCCCTTTTCATTACAGAATTTGCAGTAAATTCTTTTTTTGGGAGGGAGAAAAATCCGAGTAGCTTTTATCGGCGCCGGCGATCGCCTTCTACTCCATGATTCGAGGCTTTCACTTCATCTGTAAGGTGATTGATAGATGCCCTTTCATGAATTATTTCTTCTCTTTATTTTTTCGGTTTTCAAATGGATCCGCGGCAAATTGTCGGCCGTGGTCCAATTTGCCTCTCTGTGCTGTAATTTTCCAACGACGGTAACTGGATTGAGGGGTTGAATAACGGGTTATCCGGTTATGATTTTCGGATTTGGAGCTCTGCGGTGCTTACTTAAACAGCAGATATTGCTGTGCGATATCTATTAAAAGATCCAATGGCCACAAATTTTGGCCAAAACAAAATTTTCATGTGAAAAAAGTAAGAACACCCCCTCAAAAAATCCGCCAAAGAAGCTTACCGATAGCTAAAGAGAATCTCTCTATCTTTATTTCATCTCTAAATTCACTTGCTCCATCCCGCTGCAAGAAAAAAAATGCATTAGCTGTGATAGCGGTAAAATATTTCCATGAATGAATTATTGATTCTTCTTTTCTTTTATTAATTTTTTACAAAGACATTGTTATTTGGTTTTGTACCTGTTTTCAATTTATTTTCTATTATATCTTTCATGTGTAATTTAATTCGTGTGGTTAATTTATTTAATTCTTGGTAATTTCACATTCTTTTGAATTTTTAAGATGTTCTGATTGTTTACGAGTGGTTNTGATAAAAAAAATTGGCAGTTAGAAAAAATTACCCAAAGTTCTCTTGGGTTCCATCTCTAGCTTACCCCAACTTGCTTGGGACTAAAAGGCTATGTTGTTGTTGTTGTTAGAAAAAATTACCCAATGTGTTGGAAGGGAAAGATGAAAACTTAGTTTGTTGATTTTGTGCCAATATATTTCTTTTTCTTTTTTTTTAAGTGTTCTCTAATTTTATGAGAAATAAGTTCTTGGCTGTTAGATATACTTTTAATGTATCCAACCGCTGATCAATATCAGATGTTTGTTGTTTAAAGAATCACTGTAGAGACCCCCGATCCATGACTTTCAGTTTCAGGGCCTGCCTATATATCTATTTACTGTTTGTTTGTTTGAGGTTGTGCTTTGTTCTTGCACTTTTGTGTAGGGAACTGAAAATGGGGCAGGATAAGTTTTTGGTGGTCACAGATTTGATAGCCGTATCTGTAAGTGCAGTTCGTGATGCTGTTAAGGGGTTAAAGGAAGGAGTTGAAGATTTTGATTTCCTTGTCATTACTCAAGCTTCGTCCCAAAGTAATTCTTCTATCACTTCTTTAATATATGTAGAAATATGCTTTGTTTTGTAGTAATTGGATCGTGTGCACTTGGTAGAATTGGTTTTTATTTGCGTTGATCTGTCTGATAGCTGTATAATACAATTTTCTGGATTAATTTTTCGGAGTGGGTGATGTTGCGTTTCAGCTGGATATATAGTTGATGATGTTGTTAGTCCCTGCTCGTCTTTATTTGCAGCTAGGATGCACTGTTCGTGTAAGCAAAAATGCTTCCCGACACAAACGGACACTTTTAGGATAGAAGAAGATATTGAACAACTCAAAGTATTGATTATTCAGTTTTTGCTGTGTTTACAAATACAAAACTACATCCCTATTTATAAGAACTAAAAACAACTACCTAGTGACTTTCCTAGAAATTACTTAAGCTGAAAAATCAGCCCATAATGGCTGCTATGAAGGTGCTTTGCAGCTGCAAGGAATTTGCATTGCTATTGCAATGAAGCTGCAAGGAAACAGCAGATTATATATTTCTTACAATTCTTCCCCTAATCATGCTGCTCTTCCTTGTTTCCTATCATTCCAATCTTGGTCCTCAGCTCCATGAACCGAAGACGGCCGAGTGGCTTGGTAAGGATGTCTGCGAGCTGCCGTCCGGATTCGACAAACTCCAAAACAATATGTCCTACATCGACACAATCCCTGATGAAGTGAAAACGGGTATCGATGTGCTTGCTCCGGTCATGGAGGACTGGATTTTTTGCAAGGGCAATGGCGGGCTGGTTGTCCACCATCAGAGCTGGTGGACGAGCTTCCTCGCCGGTCAGCTCGCCCAGCAACCTACGCAGCCAGACCGCCTGACATGCCGCTGTGGCTGCCGCCACGTACTCCGCCTCGCACGTAGACAACGCCACGATCTTCTGTTTCAACGACTGCCATGAGATTGGGGCTGATCCAAGGAAGACGAGCACACCGGAGGTGCTCTTCCGCCCATCAATGTCGCCTGCCATGTCTGCATCGCTGAAAACCGTGAGCCGCAGCCCACTTCCACCGCCGGTCTTGGGAAAGATGATGCCCTGGTCCACCGTCCCCTTGACATAGCGCAACA